ACCAAATCATATTATATACTAAAACGACATAAAAAATCATTCACAAACTCACAACAAAATAGAACAAAAAGATTCACAAAAGATTTGGGAGTTGAGACGCTAACAAAAACATTTCTTTTCTAAACAAATACACAACCGCTAATCTGGGTTTGGTCAGTTTGACTAAAACGGTGCGCTATTTTGCATCTAAATATAGTATATCGCTTAAATAAAATTAATAAAAAATACACATCCAATGCTTTTAGTCTAAAGCTAGAATTAGGAATAACTGAGGAAGTTAATGAAGGCAAAGCAGAGGGTAGGAAGCAGAACATACCAAGAGACCAGTAGGCCATCGGGGCCGGTCTGCCGATGAACGCTGTGTACTGGTTGACAACGCCCAACGGAGTTGGCGCAGAAAAGAAGTAAAAGTCGAAACCACCCTCAATGACCTTGTAGGTGAGAGAAGTCCCTCTGTAGAACACATCCATGCCATTGCTGTTGAGCAGCAAAACGGAGTGCGCGTAAGCCTCGTTGCCCACATTCCGGAGATCCATGTAAACTGGGTGGGACCCGTACAAATCAGTGTTGAGATTGATCGCTGAGAAGTTAGTGGTGAAGAGGATGTATTTATCGTTCGGGTAGAGCTTGATCCCGTGCGGCTGAGAGTTCTCTTCGAGGCCGTACAAGGAGGAGTATTTCGGCACTCGGGTGGATATCTTGAGGTCTAGTCCTTAAACACCAGTACTAGTCCAATAAACCACTCCGCTTTTATTGATTTTCAATTCATGTTCATTCGGGTCCCAAACAAGACTGAACGGCCCCAGAGCCGGGTTGTAGGTATCTACATATGATATAAGTGCCCACGTGGCCATCATTGCGGTTGACACCTAACTTCATACCCGGTAAAAATGTGTATCCAGGATAATCACTTCAGCCGATCGAGGGTGATTTGAGGTGTTTTCTAGCTGAATTGGACTTCGACCCAAGTATGAAAGTTGTTCCTCTTATCGAGATCTTCATTCATGTAAAATTTGGGAATTTTAGAATTGTTGAATTCTCCGGCGAGTCAGGGCTACCAGCCGCCACGTGTTTCGGCGCATGGCCCTTTGGCCGCTGTCCCGTGGCGACTCGTGCGGTGATGTATGCAGGAAAACCTAAGGTTCCTCCTTAGGTTTTTCAATGTACCAAACCCGAATCCGCCGTCCTTTTTTCAAAATTCTAACGTTTTCATAGAGTTTTATTAAACGACCTTTAATTGTGTTTAGGTGCATCGGTGGAGGTGACCTCATTCTTGATGGTTCGAGCGGCTTTCGGGCAATGGAAAACTTGTGAGTGGACCCCTTCTAAACTTATATATTGTTATAAAATATTAGCCTAGCATGCATTCCATATTTCATGATTTGAATATGATTTATAATATGCTTTATGGACTTTTATAATTATGGTTTACGAAATAGTTTGATTTATCGAAATTACGTTTTATTAGGTATTGAATTATTGGATTTGCATATATGGATTTCTATGGTTTTCAAATACGATTTATATTACGGTTTTACGAACATGAATTATTTTATGGATTTCATGAATACAATTTATCTTGGATTTATGAGATGAGAATTTGAGCTAGTGAGCTCCGGGTTTGATATAAGTTTTGAGATATGTTTTTGGTACTTATCTAGTGGGTTATCATACGGCACATCCGCACACCACGGGTATAGAATTGTATGGCCATAGGACACAGATGATGAGGAGGAGTAAGATATGATATATTATATACCCCCAGTTCACTGTCGAAAGTAGTGTCAGATAACTTCACTAGCCATGGCTAGTGTCGGTATGGATGTTATGCTATTTCATACAGCTTCACCTTCGGGTGATAGACAGGTTATTTAGCTTCACCTTCGGGGTGATGGACATGTACTACCTTCGGCCAACTATGATAGCCTTTGTTGAGTACTTCACTGACAAGATTTACAAATTTGCCTTCGGGCGACGGCATTTTCATTATCAAGCATTGGATTTTACATATCTACCTTCTAAATGGATTTTCATGGCATGCTAGGGTTTTTCATAAAGCCTATATGTAGTATTATATATGTTTTCAAAACAAGGGGTTATTATGTTCATAAATAAAATGTTTTCCTATTATTAGTATTATTAATATAAACTTTGGTCCACTCACATTTTCAGTTTTTGCGCCTCCACAGGAGTTAGGATCGAGGCACATGATCCCGGCATCATGGCATGTTGATATAGGTATCCTTGAATCTTCCCAGTGTAGATATCATTCCCTTATTCATATCTTTTTATAGTGATTCTTCCCTATTATTTCTAATTAGTTGTATGCTCTAAACACATTCCTGCTTTGGTATAATCGTTATAACTACTTATCTTGTAATTGTTTGCATGTTTAAAATGGTTTCGTCACCCTTGGGCGTGGGCTAGCACGTGCCTACCCTGGTATGTTGGGATATCGGGGTTGGGGCATGTCAAAGATAGAGAGTGAATTTCTAGCAGATTCAATGGTTGTCTACATTTTAAAAAGAGCTTGCCGAAAAGATTGATTCAGATGAAATAACAAAGGATTTCAATTCCATTAAGGATTGAAGGGCACAACTTGAATAGGTATTTTTCTTTTTATTTGTTATGTTGTTATGACAGGATTGACGATGTATGTTTATTTATATTGTAAGTTGCAACTTTAAAGGTTTTCTTTGTTAAATCTAGTTGAAACTTGATTCATTTAGAGTTAAATTTCTTACTTCAAATTGTTGCTTTTAGGCTTATTATTGTGTAACTTTATGCAAGCAACAAAAAATTTTAACCATTTGATTTTGTACTAATAATTTTAGCTTAGCATGCCACCAAATAATTCATGGCTCCGCTATAGAAATCTTAGCATGTGCAATTTCAAAGTCTCGGTTGCCAAGTCTCCCCAGGCTGTTCAGCACCCATTCTGAATCTTGATCGAGATCTAGAGCAGTGCAAGTCAAGGAGTCTTCATTCTCATTTGAAACAATGCTAAAATTATACCTCAGCTTGGACTCCTTGGGCAAAATATACCCAAATGTATTAGTACTACTTGTGGATACACCACTAGTCCAAAAAAATCACCTCTCCTTTCTTAATCTTCAATTGGTGAGGGTCCCAATCAAGCGTGAAAGGCCCCGGCGCACGGTTGGCTTTAGTTTCCCATGATGAAATCGACGAAACATGGCCGTTTGTACGGTTGACACCCAATTTCATGCCCGGTAAAAAGGTGTCAACTGGTAATCAAAGCTTTACGTTCACTTCTTCTTGTACAAAATTTCCCGAATCCAAAAGGATAGCCACAACAGTAGCAATACTGTACTTATGTTGGTAGACCTAGTAGTTTGTGGAGCTGAGAAAAACGCAATTGGATTAGGATCCCCCCCGCATAATTTTCAAGGTTTTATTCCTGTCCAAGGCAAGAGTGCGTACAAAATAGGGGCTTTACGGTTGCAAATCCAAGCAATGTTGCCATCGGCCTTGTTGCTCTGGATAGATACGTAGCTGGTGCTTTTGGAACTGTCGTCGTGTACACAGGAACTGAAACTGAACTTCTCCGATGCAGAGACCAAAGAACTTGAGGAGTTGAGAGTGTCTCCTGCTGGTTTCAGTGTGTCCCTTGCACTTGCAGCATTGTGACAGGTCCACAGTCAGCATGCAAAAATGATTAAGTTGATTATTGCCATGATTAATTAATGACCATAACATGAAGTTTAATTTCTCCATATGATGAGGAAGAAAGACATGAAATCCATCACCAGAACATGATTAAGAATTTAATCAAGCAACGCGTCTTAGTTAAACCGTTACAATCTTTGTACAAGGCATTTATAAATTAAAAAAAAAGGGAATAAAGTAATAATTACAAGTTTTACACAAGTGACCATTTATTACAATGGTGGAAAGGTGTTAAGCTTTTGCATGACGGTGTGAGTTCGAACCTCGTCGGTAGTTAATCTAACTTATAATCTAATAAAATCTATTTTTTGACCAAAAAAAAATAATTACAAGTTTTACTAAAAATTTAGGGGTGTGATATCCACACACCCCTTTTTACTTCTCTCACACATTTTTGATTTCGACCGTCAAATCGGATGAGTTGAAGAAGATCAACGGACAGAAATTAACAAGGGATGTGTGAGAAGTAAAAAGGGGTGTGTGGATAGCACACCCCAAAATTTACCGGAAGACTTGATCACCCATTTGTATGCTGACAACGGTGACTAGATTCACAACCTCTTTCCCACGTAAATCACATCATCCAATTTTATTTTTCTTACAACATATCACGCATCTGTCATATGCAAGACTTTTTTTTTTGTATAACATGAAAAAGAAGACTTTTTTGGAATATGGAGAGTGAAATTGCAGCGGAAGCATCCTAGATTTTTGATCGAATATTGAGTTTGGTTTGATGACAGACTTCCTGGATCAAACACACCCTAAAAAATATATATAAAAAACCAATAAGGTCATGTGATACGACATCATTTCAAGAGGAAAGGTAAAAACAATCTAGTTTCTATACTAGGAAGATTCACTCGAACAAATTCTTGGAAACTATGACTCAAACAAAATTCTAGGAATTCAGTATTTTTAACAAATGATAAGCGTTTAAGATATATTCTTTATAATATTAGAGAAATCGAACGGTTGATGTATAACTCGCAAAGTGGTTGTAGCTCAAGTAATTTTACTCCCCAATTTTACATAAAACATAAAATAAAAACAAATCCTAATTTACATGGTAATTTTTTTTCATAGCTAGGGACAACTTCGACTATGGTAATGCAATTAATATACACTAGTTTTGGATGGAGAAGTTTCAAGATTGAGTATGGGATGGGGAGGGGCGAGAGACTTGGATGGAGAGGTGAGGTTTTATGAGTTAAACAGTGATGCAAGGATGTATTACTTAAAACTTTAGAGACCGTATGTTGGGCTATATATAATATACGTTCCATGGATAATTGTTTAACTCATAAACGTTTTGAGTGTTTCTAACATATGCTTATCAAAAGCCTTCTCGTTCCATCAAACAATACGAAAATTTTCAATTGAATGAAAGACATACTATTTTATATATCACAGTACTTCATGGATCATCATCATCACATATCCTTAATTCAAAGGTAATAAATGAGCATCTAGTTTTATTTTAATTTTATTTTATATAGGGACTACAGAAGCAAGCACCCTCTGTAAATTAAACTCTAAAACTTCTCAAGTATCTTGAAAGGTGCCAAAAGCCATCAGCCAACTCCAGTTGATGCATAACCTCCTACATTTACAAAAACAGCGTCGCCGTTAATTTATTGACTTCTTCCCAGGACACATACCAATTTGCGAAAGTGGTTTGACTGATGCTAATTAGTCGAGTAAAGTACAGTCTTTTCAATTAAGCAGATGCAAAACACTTAGTTGAGGCACTACAAATATGATTTTTACCTTTAATTAACGCGCTTCAAAATCTGAACTGGACATGTAGTTTGCTGAAGCAACAGTTTCAAGTTGCTGATTCCCACTTATACCAGCCTCCACCGTCCTCCTTCCAACAAAAAATGCTGGCTTTGTTGGTGATGCTAATCGAAAGCTTTCATTTGTCAACATAGATATGACATCTGACATGGTAGGGCGATCTGCTGCATTTTCTTCTACGCAAAGCAGACCGACATGGATGCATCTTAACAGTTGCTCTTTAATAAACGAATTTCCTAATGTTGGATCCGTTAATTCTAGCCCTGCACCTTTTTTCCATAACTCCCATGCCTGAAGAACAAGGATTGCATTTCATTCTAAAGAAGAAAAATATGATTATAAATTTTAAGAGAGAGATTTGTTTGTCATACATATCCTACTAAATTGAGTGCGCGATCGTCATTGTAAAAGCTGTTGTTTTTCCTTCCACTTATGATTTCAAGCATCAATACCCCGAAACTGTAGACATCAGACTTTACAGAAATAATTCCCCCCACGGACTCTGGAGGCATGTAACCACTGCACGAAATGAAAAAGAAAATTAGTCAGTATACTTATCTGGAAAAATGCGTGTTTAGCAGTCAAAAGGGGAGGACCACGTCAATGTGATGCAGAAATACTTACAGTGTCCCCACAACCTTTCTAGTGTTTGCTTCCAATTCATTTTGGGTGAAAATCCTTGCCATACCAAAATCTGAAATTTTTGGGTTCATGTTTTCATCAAGTAGTATGTTACTAGCTTTTACATCTCTATGAATTACTTTCTTTCTTGAGTATTTGTGCAGATAAAGCAACCCTTGAGCAATTCCTTCGAGAATGCTAAAACGCTTCTTCCAATCTAGTAGTAGACCTCTGATTGGATCTGTCCAATATGTAGAGTTAAGTAGGACTAATATTAATTAATAGTAGTACTCTATGAACTTTGACAGTAAAATAAAAATCAGATAGTAAATTTAACAAATGAAATCAAGTATCTTGGTTCCTCACCAAATAAAAAGTGGTCCAAACTTTTGTTCTGCAGATACTCATATATCAACATCATTTCTTCACCATGAATGCAAAATCCGAAAAGGTGAACCAGGTTTGTATGTTTGAGTTCATATATAAGTATCAGTTCATTCTTGAATTCTGATGTTCCTTGCCCTGAACATTTCGAAAGCCTCTTCACAGCTATTTCTTGTCCCGTCGCCAATTTCCCCTGAATTGATAATCCATATCATGTTTTTGCTGTCATCTTTAGGCAAATGAAGCTAATTCCATTTTTTTTCTTACAGCTTTTGAATTAGAAGCAGAAATATTTTTTTTTCAAAATGTTACCTTATAAACCGGTCCAAACCCTCCTTGTCCTAGCTTGTTTTCTTCAGCGAAGTTTCTTGTGGCAGCCACGATGGATGAATAGCTAAAAACGCTAAAATCATGATGTCGCTTAGATTTCATGAAGATAAGCATTTCGTTCTCAATCTCTGGCCAGTTCTCACCTATACAGATCAATTATAAGAAATTAAAGTTTCAATGGAGACAACAATTGTCAAAGATGTGATTAATAATCCTGTCTTACTGGTGCACATGATTTAAAGAAATATACCAGCTGATGCAAGGGCTGATCTTCTTCGTCGGAGTAGATAGTACGCGGTGCAAAGCACTAGAGCAGCAGCTATAGAAATGCCAATCCAAACCCATTTATCTGCTGCATCATAAACAATTAGCTAGCAACATATGCAATAAGTGTAACACACACGCACATGTACGCATTAATTGTCTTCAATTTTTGGATGAACTAGGTCTTGCAGGTTTCTTCCGGAAAACGAAGAAAAATTCGAGACAGAGAGCAGAACTTAAGACAACAATAACAAAGATAGAGGTACCTAATAATACTGATTCCACGCGTGTCACAGATTTCCGGCTCAAATCGGGTTTGCAGCCTCGGTATATATCCTTCGGATCAAGAAAAGAAAACCCTTTTGGGCATTCGCAGGTTGGCCTTTTATCTGGTTTGAGCATACAGGTACTGTTGTAACCGCAAACACCAACGCCCAGTCGTAGGCAAATATCATCCGGCATATACACCAGAGGACTAATCCAACTTGCATTTCCCGTGAAGTTTTTCGGGTGAGAATATAAAGCGAAAATCCCATCAAAATCAAGAGTTGCCCTTATGTAGTTGTCCCTCACCGACACTCCCTCTGTCCCCTTAAGAGGAACTCTTCCATCATTTTCTCTTAGAACAAACATGTCCCCTGAGCTGCTGAACACCAATCGTTTGCCTTGACTACCTGGCACGTTCCCTGAGGTGGTCTTCGTGGAGAAGTAAGGGATGTTGGCATTATCTGTTGTGACGGAAATGAGCACGAGGTTTCCATCACCTTGCAAGCTCAGCTGGAACCGCCCTTTTGTGTAGTTAGTCTCCGATTGTCTACACGAAAGCGTCCCGTTTCTCTCAATTGTCTGTCCAGGCAAAACGGTGTCTGTAGGACTGCTGAAGGTCTCCCACAAGCTCCCCGAGTTTTGGTGTTGAAGGACAAAGTTTCCGGTGTCATTCATGACCCCGTTCGCAACAGTCCCCAAGGTTATTTCGGATTTCCATATCTCTCCACCCTGAGGATTGTTAAGAACTAGTCCACTGTTGGCAGTCAAGTTCAGAACTGATCCCCCAGGTGCAACCATGGGGTTGTTACCGTCATATGCATACCAAACTACGGTTTTGTCTGGGATTTTCGCATACCATATCGAAAGCAAGAAACGATCATTGTTTCCGAGGGGCGAAAATCCAAACGCGAAATCACCGGATGGAGAAAGCCATGATGAGGAGTCGCCTGTAGTTGCAGTTAGAGAACTCCCAACTGCTACTCTTCCATTATTTTGGGAAATCACAGAAATTGGTAGCAAAAACAAAGAGGAGAACAAAAGCATCTCCACAGAAAGAGCCACTGCCATTGCAAAAGCACCCATTTTTCAACTTGGCTTGATTGATTAGCTATATTTCTTAGTAAAGCATTGGTCCTTGTTATATCTTCAAGTAAATGTGTGTGCACCATGTGCCAATGTGCCAGTCATTTTCTAAGTTTTTGCCTGGAATTAAAGGCGTCTACACCATTTTTTGAAGTCAGTCTTACCTATCTGCCACGACATGACCTCAGACCTCGCTACGTCACACACAACAATATCTCCGGGCCTACAGAATAATTCTCCGAACCTACACATATCACAAGAATTTCACTTTGAAAAAAATAATATAATGAATAGTTCTATATATAATGACACGATATTTTTGGTGATAGAACTTATTGTCTCTCCCAACTCTGTGTAATGTTGCAAGTTGGATCAATATTGATGTAATTATTAATGGCCCGCTAACTTGTCTCTCTCAAATCTCTTTTCATCCTACTCTCATCCCTCGTCCGTTTTATGATTCTACTTACTTGAGCACTTATAAGTGTTCCAAATCAGCAAAGGACTTGTAACTTAAATAATTAATAATATTTATCACTACACTGGGGATTCTAGGTTCCAAAATATAATATATAATATATATGAATGTTCCAAACCAAAAGGACAAGTAAATACGAGCATGACTCACGTGGCATGTGTCGGCCATTCAAGTCCAACAATCAAAATTCAACAATGGGACCCACAAAGAAAATTTGAAAACAGACCTCCAGAACCAAACAAAGACGACTAGGCCTTTATGTCAAGTATTAAGAGACTTACATCATCACAAAAACAAAGACGACTATGTCTCTGACACGCCCCGATCCCGATGTCCTAGGGACAAAGGGATGGTCACGTGCTGGCCGACACCCGAAGGGTGACGAAAGCCATTTATTGAGTGCAAATGCTGACAACAAGGGATAGATAAGACTTATAAATATAAAAGAATAAAGAATATGCCTTTAAGGAACGTGTTCAGAGCATACAACTAACTAGAATACTAAAAGAAATAATATATAAAAATTGAATGAATAACAGAATGGGTCCTACACCAAGAAGACTCAAAGATGCCGATGTGGAAGTGCCTTGACGTCGGGATTGTATGCCTCGATTCTATGCCCTGAAGGGGGCGCAAAACAAACATGAGTGGACCAATTTGATATATATATAACAAAACAGTTATCAACGTACTAACCCCCAAGTTTTATGAAAACACATATATAATGATAAACATAGGTTTTCCGAAACCTAGCATGCCGTGCAATGTCTCAAATCATAACTCATACATAATAATCACTAGTGAATTGTCCGATAACCCCCAGGCCCCATGCCGGCTCCCCGTCTCTGAGCAGACAGTCAGAGGAAAATACACTTCAGGCCCCATGCCGGCTCCCCGTCCCTGTGCTAAATAGCCAGAGGAAACACACTTCAGGCCCTATGCCAACACCAAACCGTCGCCCGGGACGGACCAGAATCTATCCCTACGTCCCGTAGCGGAAAGGACCACTAGGTAAATACAAAACCATTGAACATATATATATTGAAAAACAACTTCATAGTATAAAGTCATCCATCATCTATACTATAAAGAGGTGTTTGAAACATGTTCTAAATATCATATCGTCATCCATCAGATATTCTATAAGAACACGGGTTATAGGAAAAATAGTAATAATTCAAACTAGCCTCAGTAAGCATGTTATGTCACAAAACGTTTCATAAAACGTAATCATCAAATCATGCTTTTCATGTATGCATTTCTACTATAAAACATGCATTTTAGAAGGGGTCCACTCACAGTACTTAGTTGCCAAATGCTGCGCCACTAGCGAAGACGGAAACGTCACAATAATTGCCCCTAAGCACATAAATGGTACAATAAATAAAACTATATAATAGAAATTGAATTTGAGAAAACGGACATTGGAAACGGATCCAGAACGTCGAATTACCCTAAGAAGGGTTTGAATTAAATAAAATAGGGAATTTGGAATTGAATGGGTTTAGGGTTTTAAAGGATTTGGGTTATAAAGGGTTTAGGGTGAAAATGGGTGGTTTGGGCCTAAGCCCAAACACACACACGCACCACACAAACACACACACGCACGGCATGCACATGCATGCAAGCATGCATATACACACACGTACGCATGCACTTAAACACACACACACACACAAACCACAAAGGCCTTAAGGCCTCACACAAGGACCGGGCTTTAAGCCCTTTCACTCAAAACCGGCCCAAGGCCCTTTGGGCTGCTGAAAATAAATAATTAAATAGAATAAAAACAGGCTGGGCTAGGCAGGGAAGGCCCAAAGCCTTGGGTTTTGGTGGATCGCCGGATCCAATGGGAGAGAAGGCCGGAAATTCGGCCGGAAAACCATCCCACTTTAAACGGCCATAACTTTAACAATACTCAACGAAATCAAGCGAGACAAAAACGAAAGTTATAGCCCTTGAAGAGACGAAGAGAATGATACCTCACACGATGTCTAATTCGCCGTGGTTTGGCCGGAAAACGCCTTGAAAGCCGTCGGACTCGCCGGAAACTGGGTAAGATTCAAATGAGTATAACTTTTCCAATACTCAACGAAATTGAGTGAAACAAAAAGGAAAGTTATACTACTCGACGAGACGAAGAGATTGATACCTTGCACGCCGGCCAACTCGTCGTGGTTTGGCCGGAAATGGCCTCGAAAGGGGCGGTGCTCGCCGGAGCTTACTCCGTGTCGTCGAACTCGCAGGGCAGGGTCCAGGGTTCGTTGCGAGCCTCTCTTCGATGGTGACTCGGTCCTAGTGAGTCCAGGGGAAGAGAGAGAGCCGAGAGACATACAGAAGAAGGAAGAAAAGAAAACAGAAAAGAAGAAGAAGAAAGAAGGGAGTTCACGGGGGAGGGACAGAGAGAGAAGGAAGAGTGACGGGAATGGGGGACACAAAAACAGAAGGTGGGCCCCTTGGGCACACCAATTAAGAATTAAAAACCATTTTTAAATAAAATGGGGGTGAGGTGTTACAGTCTCCATTTCTGTATTCACAAAAAACAAAATACTAACTGAAGTTTTTAATGTATGATTACGTCGTTGGGGTAAAACACCCCAGGCCGAGTTGTCACAGTCTGGCGCAAACGGACGCAGAGACCCGAACCACTCATTTTAAATCATACGGCCTTCATTAGCCTATCTTATTGACCCACATCACACAAGGGGTTCGAATCTCTCTCTCTCCCCTCTCTTAAACGGTTTGGATATCTCGGTTTGTCGATTTTGGATTGCGAGATTCAGAGAGAATCTGATTTCGGGTTTAAGGTGTGGTTCGACGACCATTTGAAGCCCGTTGAGGTGTGGCCCATCTCATCAGGTCGAGTCAGCCATTTTGTACCAGGTTGGATCCCAGGTCAGGCCAACCATTTCATTAGCCTAAGATGGACCTGACAGACGAGGCGCTTGGATATTGCCCACCGCGACCAAATGGACCCATGGGCTCATTAGATGATGAATCTGGACCCAGGTGTGTGTAAAGCCCACCTCAGCTCGATCCATATTTGACCGATACTACAGAGAAGGTGGAGATGAGGTAAAGGTAGGGTAAGCTCCAAGTCATGTGGAGGTCAGTCAAGATTGAACGCACGTTCATAGAATCATAGTATCAAATTCAAGTCCAAATTTTAACACTACGAAACCAAAAAGCATGCAACTCCGAAAAACATTATTTCAGTCCAACAACCCAAACTTCCTTAAAAAACTAAGACCAAAACGACGACACCAGGAAACGGAAAAACATGCAACTCAGAAAACCATTGCTCTAGTTCAAATGAGGTTCCTCAATGCCTCAAGCTTTTCTAAACACCATAGCCTGAACCTTTTCCTTTGCGCCTTCTTTGCTTCACCAGAAACGTTCTTAATGAGCTCCTCTTCAAATTTGAGACGAGTAGGCATTAGGCTGTGCACAATGCTGTAAATGCCCCTAGCCCTTGCCACACCCTAGGTGCGTACGTGTGCATGTCCGACCTGAGTTATCTCATTACGCGCGCAGTTATATCTTCCCCTATTGACATCCCTGCTGTCTATTCTCCTACGAATCCTTCTGCTGGTGACTTCATCCGGGTCCATTTTCTTGCTCCTCAGTGCATGTTCATCTGCTTTTCCCTGTTAATAAATATAGGAATCCCATAACAAACAGCATTTGACAAAACAGAACCTAATAATAACAACAAAACTTGACTTCATCCTCAGTTCATGTTCATCTGCTTTTCCACTTCAAAGCAGCTGACGGCACGATTCGTACTTGGACTCCAAGATGTCTAGATTATGGAGAAACCAGCCCTTTGTTCAAAACACACAAAAAAGTGTATTTTCCTTTTATACCAATTAAGTGTGTTGAAGCATGTCCCACATGGCCACATCGGAAACTTGTTGAAGTTTAAATCCTCTTATATAGAAAGTTTGACTACTAATTGCCTTGAGGACTTAATTTTGTATAAAACCATACCTATTGAATTGCACACGTGCTTAAGTTAAGGTCATTATTGATGGTAATTAGTAGTGGGCCGCTGGGTCATCTTCAAAAAACTGGTACAAAGGGCAATTTATAGAAGCAGTGTTGAGATAAGGGCAATTCACCTCTTTTTTTTAGAAGGATATATATGAATGAAGCAAGGTTTATCTGCTCACCCGTAATGCGGCTCAGCCCTTCATCAAAAAGTGAAAGATCAAAATTACTTTTACAGCAAGAGCAATAACCAGAAGATGTAATCTAAATTATTTATATTTGGTTCCCTTGAAATCCTTTTGACTGCTTCAACATATATGCAGACAGAACCAGAACCAAGTCCAGACTCACTCGTAATAGGTCTCCTCATCCACAACAATATCCCAGCTTTCCCTTGTCGTGGTTTTCCCATATTTGTGCACCTTACTGCAAAGAGAGAGCAAGTTAACTTGTCAAAGAAAAACCAGAACAATAGATGCCAATGCAGTTCAGAAAGTTTATTTCCCTTCATACCCATTTCCAAAGTGCTCTTCTCCCCATGTCCTCGACCAACCTAGACATGAGAGAACAAAAACAGAGTTACATCAGATTAAATTATTGAAAGAAAAAGGTTCACTTCTGTTGTAACAAATCGACATTAGAATCAAGCAACCACGCTATGAAATACAAATTTAAAATGTAACAATTTACTGTGTCTGAAAGGAATCTGTGAAATAAAATAGCTAAACCCTAAACAGCACCACTGCAAATAGCATAAGAAAATTAAAATTAACCCTAAAGAAACCGGGAGAGAAGAATATGAAAAGGGAATACCTTTCGGCCCTTTGAGTTATTGGAAAAAAAACCCAACAGAGCAAAAGATAAACAAAAATATGGGAGGAAAGAAAGTAAATTTTCAACTTGTAAGATTCATACCCGAACAGATTGGCGGTCAAAAGCATTTCGGAACTCAGAGCCATCAAGCTTTTTGATCTGCATGGAAATTATTTATGAAGTTTGAGATTCTTATAGACGCTTTAGACACATCGACATATTGAAAAAGCAATATTCAACAACCTAGTACCCATGCTCCGTAGAAGGTTACAGAAAATATGAATGTCTGGACTCTGGAGTGAGAAAGTAAAAGGACTTACCGCATACTTCATATCTTATAAGTTTTTGTAGTCTACAATCCCTATTGTGCCTACAAAAAAAGGCATAGGACAAAAGCTAAATCAATCGAAATTTTGATGTCTCATGATCTACGTCTTAGGATTAAACTACTGGGAGCGGCTAGGGTTTGAGTATGGAAGATATGAAAAATGGAGAGAGCACCTGTTTTTGGCTGAAGCAACAACTCACACACTCCGGACAAATCTGCAAATGTCTAAAAGGGGGAAAATATAATAAGAAACCTTAACAACTGAATTCAAAGAAACATTATTACATTGTAAATAGCATTTCACAAAAAACAAAATACTAAACTAAACGAATTACACTCGGATTGCAATGTTATCATTTAATAATAGGAATTCCCTAACTTAGCAGAAGATCCTGCATCTGCAAAGGATCCTTTAAAACCTATTTTTTTGAACAACCCCGCACATGCAACACATCTAGGCAAGCTAAACCAATAGCACCCTCATGTTGAGCTCTTCTGTGCATATATACCTGTCAACTAAAAGCAGCCATGAGTATTGGATGGCTAGTGAAGTTAGGCTAGTCAACTTTCTTTATGTAAATTAGGCAAGTTAGGTAAGTTAGGCAAGTTAGGCAAGTTAGGCAAAGTTAGGTCTTATGTCTTCTTTCTTTCCCTATATATATGTTCATCTTGTAATGAGAAATAATCATCTAATATATCAAGGAATTAACTCTATTTTGGCATGGTATCAGAGCAATTCTGATCCAAAAAGAGTTTCTATTCTGATTCACTTACTGGCACTACTGCCATCTACCCAATAAGACCTGCTATTCCGCAGGTCTTCTACTTTCATACCAATCCAATCTTACTCTTTTTTCATTTGGCCATATCTGCCAACATTATTACCCATATCCAGCTTGTTAACCATACATATTCCGCTTCATCTTTTCCCATATTTTTCCCATTTGCAGTATCTCTGCAAAACCCAGAAATCTTTCCACAAAAAAAAAAAATATACTACCCAATACCTTATAAGCCATACCCGTTGGAATCACCCAACAAATTTACCCATAACCTTTGAGGCAGTAATAATGGGTGACTCCAAGACCACTGTTTCAGCTACTGTTCAAAGTGATATGTCTCTACATATCACCCCAGACAAGTTGGATGGGTCCAACTATTCCTCATGGTCCCAAAGTGTCTGCATCTACATCACTGGCAGAGGTAAATGGTCTTATGTCAGTGGAACAAAAATGGCACCAGCAGAAGCTGATGCATTGTATGTTATATGGGAGGAAGAGAATGCCATGGTTCAATCTTGGTTACTCAACTCCATGACCGGAGATGTACGGGCCATTTTTCTCCGACTCTCTACTGCAAAAGATGTTTGGGATGCTGTTACCCAAACTTACTCAATTGAAAAAGATGCATCAAAGTTATACGAACTTCGCCGTCAAGCACTGGTGACTCACCAGAATGGAGAACCTTTATCTGCATATTATGGTAAACTTCAGCAAACATGGCAAGAAATTGATTTCTTGCGTCCTGGAAAATTGAAGTGCGCTGATGATATTGCTACCCGAGAGACAGAAATTTCGAAAGAAAGATTGTATGATTTTCTGGCTGGTCTTGATCCTCATTTAGATCATGTTCACAGTTAAGTTTTGACTCAAACAACTCTACCTTCTGTTCGTGCTGCTTATGCTCTTGTGAATGCTGAAGCAAGTAGGCAAACCATTATGTTGGTTGGCCCACAAGTGGAAGGATCCGCCATGGTAGCTGCTCCGTCTCAATTTCCCCGTGGAGTCTCCAATTCTCGATTAGGTGGATCCAAAACTACTGATACAAGGAAGTGTACTTATTGTGACAAGGATAAACATACTAGAGACACTTGCTTCAAGCTGCATGGATATCCTGATTGGTGGGTTCAAAAGAAAGAAAATAAAAAGAAAGGCATTGGTGGATCACAAGCACACCTGACACCAACGCCTTCCATACCTCGGGTGGATCAATCTGCTCACTTAGTTTCTCCTACTACTGCTTCTACTTCCTTAGTCGATGCAGGTAACTTTGGTTTTGCCTTGAACACTACAATTGTTCCTCCCAATAAACCTTGGATCATTGATTCAGGGGCTTCTGACCACATGACCAATAACTCTACATGGTTTGTTTCTCACACTACTCCACCTTTAAATACCGTTAAAGTTGCTAATGGTATTTCTACTCCAATGCTTGGAGCAGGCTCCATCTCATTAACACCAGGCTTATCTCTCTCATCTGTTTTACATGTTCCTAATCTTTCTCACAATTTGCTTTCCATTGGTAAACTTACAATCAACTAAACTGTCTTGCCATCTTTTCTCCTACCCATTGTTGGTTTCAGGATATTCGAACGAAAGCATTGATTGGTCATGGTAGAGAGAGGGGAGGTTTATACTACTTGGACTTACCACCAGATTGTGAGAAGACAAGTTACAGTTGTCAAGTGGAGGCCAAACAATTTGAAGCTTCTGAAAAAATTTGGTTATGGCACAAAAGATTGGGACACCCTTCCTTTCAGTACCTGCAATATCTATTCCCTTCTTTATTTTCTAAAGTCAAGGTTTCTAATTTCCATTGTGAAAATTGCATTCTTTCTAAAAATCATCGTGTCTCATTTCCTTTAAGTTCCCATAAAAGTAATGTTCCTTTCTCTCTTATTCATTCTGATGTTTGGGGACCATTTCATATTCCTACTTATACTGGTGCTAAATACTTTGTCTCTTTCATTGATGACTGGACTCGAGTTTCTTGGGTATACTTACTCAAAAATAAGAGTGAGGTTATGTCTATTTTTCCAATCTTTCATCAAATGATTCAAACCCAATTTCATGCTAAAATTCAAGTTGTTCGATCTGATAATGGGAAAGAATATTTGAATTATGGACTTGGAACATTTTTTCAACAACACGGTATCATTCATCAAACATCTTGTCCACATACTCCTCAACAGAATGGTATAGCAGAACGTAAAAATCATCATCTCTTGGATGTGGCTCGCTCTTTATGTTCTGCTATGCACGTTCCTAAACGTTTTTGGGGTGATGCCATTCACACAGCTGTTTTTCTTATCAATCGCATGCCATCACGTGTTCTCCAATTTCAAACACCTATCCAGACCCTTTCCCAATATCATTCTCTTCCTTCACTCCTTCATATTCCTCCAAAAGTGTTTGGTTGTGTTTGCTACGTTCACGTCCCCATGCAAAATCGTGATAAGTTGGGTCCTAGAGCCATCAAATGTGTGTTTATTGGCTATTCTGCTACTCAGAAAGGGTATCGATGTTACTATCCTCCCACTGGGAAATTTTTTGTCTCTATGGATGTTACCTTTCGGGAACACAAGGCATTTTTTTCAAAAGAAGATTTGGCCACTTCTCTTCAGGGGGAGATATGGAGTAAGGAGGAAGAGAAGTTGCCGCTTGACATTGGTGGTATGCATTTTTCAGATGAACACTTGTCTGATGTCGGTGATGGTGCAAATTTGCCTAATGATGAGGCACAAGGTGAAAATATTGAAGGTGTATGAGAGGACAAGAAAAAAAGGAGATAAAGAAAAAATGGATGATGAGATAGACCACCCACAAACAAATCCCCACATTGACCAACTTTCTGACCAATCAGCTACTACTCGTACGAATTATCCTGAGGTAACCACGCATTCTCCCTCTCTTCAGCCTACTATATTTGATGAGTCCAATCATGAGATTTCATTAAGTGATGATCCAAATGATTCAAATGAACCACATCGTGAGTCTCAGGGTTCTCGTTATCCTATTCGAGAAAATCGAGGGATACCCCATGTTCGTTATGGTCATTCTTCTACAAAGGGTATTCAATATCCTATATCTAATTTTGTTTCATATCATCGCTTGTCAGACTCTTATATATCTTTTGCAAGCCAATTGTCATCAGTCTCAGTTCCTAATAAGTTACAGGATGCTCTTAAAGATCCAAAATGGAAAAAGGCTATGATTGAATAGATGGAAGCGCTTCGAAAAAACTCCACTTGGGAACTGGTTGCACTTCCTGAAGGCAAGAAACCTGTTGGGTGTAGATGGGTGTTCACAGTAAAGCATAAAGTTGATGGTTCAGTGGAAAGGTACAAGGCTAGACTGGTAGCCAAAGGTTATACTCAAACCTATGGCATTGATTATCAGGAGACATTTGCTCCGGTAGCAAAGATCAACACTATCAGGGTTCTTATGTCATTGGCAGCAAATTTAGGGTGGCCTCTACGACAGTTTGATGTAAACAATGCATTTTTACATGGAGACTTGGATGAAGAGGTATACATGGATGTTCCTCCAGGATTCACTACCACTTACGATATTGGCAAAGTATGCAGGTTAAGAAAGTCCTTGTATGGATTGAAACAATCACCAAGGGCATGGTTTGGCAGGTTCGCTCAATCAATGAGAAGTTATGGGTTCAAGCAAACTCAAGCTGACCATACCTTATTTCTTAAGCATGATAGAGGTAAACTTACATCCTTAATTGTTTATGTGGATGATATGATGGTTACAGGTAACGATGTCGAGGAAATTCAAAAACTTTAGAAGTATCTAGCCAAGGAATTTGAAATGACGGACTTGGGTACTTTGAAATATTTCTTGGGTATTGAAGTTGCAAGATCAAAGCATGGCATTTTTCTTTCTCAAAAGAAATATGTTATAAACTTATTAACTGAAACTGGGATGTTAGCTTGTAAACCTGCAGACACACCAATTGAGCAAAACCATAGATTGGGAGACTATCATGATCAAGTTCCGGCTAACAAGGAAAGGTACCAAAGATTAGTTGGGAGGTTGATTTATTTGTCTCATACACGACCTGACATAGCCTATGCTGTAAGTGTAGTGAGTCAATTTATGCACAGGCCAAGTGAAGCCCACATGGATGCTGTACAATGCATTCTCAGGTATTTGAAGTCTGCCCCTGGAAAAGGCTTGATGTTTTCCAATCATGGACATCAAGAAGTTGAAAGGTACACTGATGCAGATTGGGC